TTCACACAGTGCTGTAAAGAAGCATCTTTATAGAAAATTGACTGCAAGGGAAAATTGTGGCAAAAGCGACAGAGGTGACTCCAGGTTTGAGAGGATTGTTAAGAAAGGTTGGTTCAAAAACCTGCAAGAGCTTCACAAGGAGTGGATGGAGGACTCTGTCACCACACAGATGTCTTTAGGAAATGAGTTCCAATGTTAAAAGTGTCTTTTTGGTCTTCTGGTAAAAAGAGAAGAAATGGACTGTTGCTCCGTGGTCCGAAGACCTCTTGTCAGATGAAAGTCAATTTTCCAGTTCTTTAACACTTACCTCACAGGATTTGAGTCCACTGTCTGACCAGGGACCTTCTGCGTGGAGTTTGCATGTTCTCTCTCTGTTTATGAGGATTCTCCCACATGGCTTCCTCCCACAGTCCAAAGACTTGTAATTATTGGGGTTAGGTTAATTTGGTTAGTCTAAATTGTCCATAGGTGTGAGTGTAAATGGCTGACTGTCTTTCCGTGTTAGCCCTGTCCAGGCTGTACCCAACAACTATGGTAGCTGAATAGGCTCCAGCCTCCCCGCGATTCTGACAAGGATGAACAGAAGAGAATGGATGGATTTACCTTACAACATAAAGCACCTTGAGACTTTTGTTGTAATTTGGTGCTATAGAAATAAAATGTAATTGCACTGAGGCTTTATAGACATGCCTTTTCTCTTTTCCAATAGGACTTTGCAACTGCTCACAGTACTAAAACTACTACAAAATGGTTTGTTGACCAACCTGCCTGACCTGAACCCCACCGAAAATCTACGGAGTATTGTTAAGTTGAAGATAAACACCTGAGCCAAATATACAGACAGGCCACGTCTGCATCAATGCAGTCGTTCGTGGTAAAGGATATGAGTGTTTAGCATTTTGAATTACATTATGAAAAGCATGAAGCTTTTCATGATGTTGTATTTTTTTAATGACTTCAATCAATTCCACAATGTACAAAGATTGATCAATGGAAATTCCTTAACCATTGTCACAGTATCACATAAT